AGCCTTGGTTATTAAATAGTTGTTTGTTACAGATATAATTCTATAAGAAAAAATAAATAAAACAAGTTTGGCTGGTTTTACCATGAATTATGTGCCATATAATGCACATGACTATCATGTGAGTCAGTTATCAGTAAAGTTCACGCACACTATCCCTCCCCTCCTAATTAACGGACATTTTTTATGGTAAAAAAGACAGATAAGCCAATATTTATTTTCTTTTAAACGCGAACGACTGTACAATAAATAAATAGTAATACAAATAGCTTACGCGCATGTCCTTGAGCATTTTAATCAACTTTTGAAGCTAGTTTATTATTAATAAACATATTTAAAAAAAATTATATTAATATTTATAAAACTTGTTGATTTAGTTTTAACAAAAAGGTTAACACAAGGATAGTTATATTCACACAATGTCTATTAGGAAGTACCTAAAAAATATATATTACTATGTTACACTCATAGTAAAAATATAAGTTTGTTATTTATAATATGCTGTTAATAATTTTTCTATTATATGATTTTCAGTGTGTTTTAAACTGAAATATAGAATTGGTTAAAAATGCAACAAATTTATTAATATAATCATGTGTTTGTTTATTTTATAGCTCACAGTGCGTATTGTAAAATAGATTTGTGAACAACAAAATTTATTAAGTTGCATTTTATAAAATTAATAATAATTCTATTGATTAAAAATCTTGATTTACATCCTATTAATGTGTTAAACAGTATAAAGTGTAAACACAATTTACGTAAATATAATTATTGTATGTAATTTGTTAGTATACTAATATTACATGTCATGTTTTGCTATTAAAGTTATATTAAGAATATGTTGAGACAATAATATTATATCGGCAAAATTTTACAAAAATACTGTACAAAATATTCAATGTATTCTAAACATAAAAAATTATAAATAATAAATAAAATTAAAATAAAATAATATATATACTTTAAATCCAATAAACATATGTGAAGTAATTTAATTAATAAAAACAGCCATTACATTAATAGCAATAAGAAATTACGAACCATTTTGACTAAAGTGATTTTGCATAAATTTAAGTAGTTAGAATAAATTGATAATTATAAATATGGCCATTAAATTAGCATTATTTATAACAATCATGATGGTGATGGCGGCTAGCACAGTCTCAGACGACCAATCATGGAAAACTTACGGTCTTGGTCAACCAGAGCCTTTCGACAAATTACCAGACGGAGGACAACGCCAAGTGTGGCTGGAAACAAGTCATCTCGACATTAAAAAAAACAAGCTAAGAAAATATGCGAGGCCAGGGATTGCGAGCACATATGCTATTTTTTGACAGGGAATAAAGCTTACCAGTGCGCGACTAAGAAGGAAAAGATTCCGCACTACTCGGTCACAGCATTTTTAATACACGATTTAAAACTACGGGGAGAGTCGGCACATGATTCAGACGACGGGTCAGGAGGTGATCGGAAACAGGAATCGGACAAGCACCCTGAGTCAGATTTGCATAAAGGGCAACACTCGGACAATTCAGAAGATGACCAGGGAAGCTCAAGTGGTGGTGGTGGTATTGGTAATAGTGGTAGTAGTGATGGTGATAGTATAGGTGGTAGTGGTCGTCGTAGTCGTGGTGATGGTGGAAGTAGTGGTAGTAGCAGTGGTGGTCGTAGTAATGGTGGTAGTAGTCGTGGTGGTCGTAGTGGTCGTGGTAATCGTGGTGGTGATGAAGATGGTAGTGGAAGTGAAACAAAACAAGATCCGCCATCAGCTGATTAACACAAAAAATCATCAAGATTAGATGATGTACTTGGTCTAAAAACAAAATAAATTTAATAAGATTGTAAAATAAAATTTTATTTATTTTTAATTTTTCTTATATTGATGGTGTGTTTTATCATTTGCAGTGATAATTTGTATATATTAGTTTTTATTATATTTATTATATTTATAATTATATTTATTTATAATTTTTTGTTATATTTATTTATTAATATTTATTTGTTTCATTATTTTCAGTAATAATCAATATTTATATAATAATCAATTATAATTTTGTGAATTTATTTATAATCTAAACCTTTAATCAATTACTTATAAATTTTTAATAACAGAATAACAAATGTTAAACATTAAATTTAGCAATTATTAAGTTTTAGTTTATTTTGTTAATATAACGAATTTAAATTGTTAAAACTTGTTATAGTTATATAATAAATTTTTAGTTTTAAATTACATTAAATATCACTTTATTCAATGTGCATGTTATTGTGTGACACATTATTGTTACAGTATTGTACCAAATGGTCGACAACAATGTTTGCATCGCTCGGTTCGCGCAGTTGTTCGCAAACATTTACAAATACTTGCAGATTTCCAAACCCATAAGTATTCTAAGCATAAATAGAAATATGGTATAAACAAGTGATGTAATAAATTGTGATAAATATAATTTACCTGATTGATATTGAAACACTGTTGGTCAAAAGTGTCCACAAACTTGTGATAGCATTCAGCGTTGTTTACCACGTGTTTGCCGTTGAGTATAGCATCGGTGTTAACAGTAAGCATGTGTTCAACGCTCTGCACGTATTGTGCGATATGTTTGTCCATATATTGACGGCCAGTCAATAGTCGCTGCAATTCAGCCACATATCTATTCGGGTAAAAATTATTTAAATAAGTTTATTATTATTATTACTCTTGTTTTTGACCCAGGTCATCTGTTGACTCAACAAGTTTTTAAACAAGGGCAATGGGCACATCTCGGCTACTAACGACATCATTATGGTTAGTAGCTGGTGCTTTGTAGGCATTAATTGTTTTTTTTGGATCCTGCTCATTTATAATTAGAAAACATGATTCATGCAAAATTAAAAATTATTACGATTTAGTTTACTAACCCAAAAATTGAGAAACAGGTAATTTATTAATTGCCAATGTTCCGTATTGTTGCGGGTGTGACTTATTTTGGGAGCTAACGGTATATTTGTACGATTGCTCCAGATTCGCCTTAGTCAAATCTTTTTAACCACTATTATGATATGAATAATGTGGTTTATAGGATCGTTCGGCCCCCCCTTTCCCCCCTCCCGCAACAATACGGAACATTGGCAATTAATAAATTACCTGTTTCTCAATTTTTGGGTTAGTAAACTAAATCGTAATAATTTTTAATTTTGCATGAATCATGTTTTCTAATTATAAATGAGCAGGATCCAAAAAAAACAATTAATGCCTACAAAGCACCAGCTACTAACCATAATGATGTCGTTAGTAGCCGAGATGTGCCCATTGCCCTTGTTTAAAAACTTGTTGAGTCAACAGATGACCTGGGTCAAAAACAAGAGTAATAATAATAATAAACTTATTTAAATAATTTTTACCCGAATAGATATGTGGCTGAATTGCAGCGACTATTGACTGGCCGTCAATATATGGACAAACATATCGCACAATACGTGCAGAGCGTTGAACACATGCTTACTGT